ACTTCCGGCTTTTTTCTTTTTGCTTATGTGGTGCTGAGGAATCGAACCCAGGGCCTCGAGCATGCAAGGCAAGCGCTCTACCATTGAGCCACCTTCCCAGCCCCATGAGCCTTTTCTTTAAGATAGAAATTAGGTTTGCTTCCTCCAGCCTTCTGGGACACAAACAATTTGAGACTATCTTGAACTAAATTTAGAATTTAAGTTTCTGAGCTGGATGCTGGTGGCTTATGCCTATAATTCTAACCACTCAGGAGACTGAGATCCAAGATAGCTCAGGAATGAAAGTCCATGAGACTCTTTATCTCCAATTAACCACCAGAAAAAGAAGGGGAGTTGTGGCTCTGAATGGTTGGGCGTTAGCCTTGAGTAAAATTGCCAAGGGACAGTTCTCAGGCCCTTAGTTCAAGCTGGTACCATGCATTTACTTTGAATTTGAGCCCTAAACTTATGTCCAGTGTTTACTCACACATTAGAGGAGACCTGCCCTATCTAGAACCAAGGCCCAAACATACTATCCTTCTGACTTTCTTGAAAAACTTATTTCTATTTAATGTGCACTTTTATCTTAGTTATGCCCCTGATGGCATGACATGAGAACTTTGGCTCCAACTCATCACATTGCAGTCATAGGTTCTTACGGTTTTTAAAACCAACGTTGCAGGTCATCAGAAGTAGTAAGTAGATGCCCTTTGGGCAGCACACAGTCTTGATTTGGATTTCTGCTCCTATTTTTAGTTTGACCTCTGAGAATTTTTCCTATTCTTTTATTAGCTCAGCTATAAATTTTAAGAATTAAAAAATTTCAAATTAATTTCTTTTAAAGAGTATTGTAGCATGTTTTCTGCCCTGATCACTAAATAAACTTTTGTTTTTGGTATATACTAGAGGCAAACCATAAAAATCTAGGTACTGGAAGTACTTTTAGAAATTATTTGGGGCTCTATTTCTTAAGATTCTCGTTATGCTTAAATACTTGGTCAGAAATATATGGAAAATTACCTGTCAATGAAAGAGACTAAAGTGGTCTACCTGTGCAAAAGAGAACTGAATATACCTTTTTAAATTTCCTGGTATTTCCAATAATACACTCTTGATAATATTTAATTTTAATAAGAACAACTTAAGGTAATTTGCAAGTGATTAAGGCATGTTATAAAGAAATTGACTTTTCTTCTTCAGTATGCTTTATCTAGTAACTTTATTCTTCCAGTTTACCAAGCAATGGACAGAATCAAATGGTCTAGAGTCGAAATCATTAACTCCAGTATTATGCAGAGCATCTGCCAATAAGTTAAAGAACAAAGAAAATGTATACACTCCTAAGTCTACTGTAAAGAATGAAGAGCATTTTATATTTCCCGAGCCTAGGACCCCAGTTAATAAGAACCAGCATAAAAGAGAAGTTCTAACAACACCAAATCGTTACACTACGCCCTCAAAAGGTATTTGCGTTTAATGATTTAAAAATTTCAAATGTCATTATTCTTACTGTATTAAATACCATATACTGGGTGGGAAACTACTAACAATACTGTTTATAGAATTCACATTACCTTACTGTGTTAGTTTGAAGTATATTACTTAGCTTTTAAATTTCTTAAATGAAACCTTTTCACACTCCCACAATCGAGTCATAGAGCCATGGGATATCAAAACTGAAAAGCAGGCTAGAGCTTATCTATATCAACTTCTGTATTCAACAGTTTAGAAATGTGAGACTCAGAGAAATGTAATGATTTTCCCAAGGGCATGTGTCCAGATTCAGGTCTTGCTTGCTCACTTACCCCTATGTAGAATGACTCAAACCCAAGTCTCTCTCTGCTTTAAGTAGTTTATGTATGAAGCAGTTCATGAATACAATGCATCTTGATCAATATCACTGCTTTAATCATTTTCCCCCATCTCTCCCAACCCTATTCCTCCTCTCAAATGTTCCTTTCATTTTTGATGGTTTTTATTTATTTATTTTTTTTTGGGTCCGGTCGTGGGGCCTGAACTCTGGGCCTGGGCGCTGTCCCTCAGCTCTTCAGCTCAAGACTAGCACTGTACCACTTGAGCCATAGCGCCACCTCCTGTATAACTCAGTGGGTGGTAGTTGTATCTCTATACCTAGAGGTGAAGACTTTTTCATAGGTGTTTCTGATTGCTGTCATTTTCTTTAAAAATTTTTATTGTTATTATAAAGGTGATATATAGAGGGGTTATAGTTACATAAGTCAGGTAAATGCTGGTTTTTTATTGTTATAAAATTTGGAAGAATAGACTTTTATAGTTACAAACCAAACCCTCAATTTCTTTGTAGAAACATGATGTTAAAGCTAGGCACTATTGATTTACACCTGTAATCTCAAGCTACTTAAGAAGCTAAGATCTCAGACCATGGTTCAAAGCCAGCCTGGGCAAACAAATCTGAGAGACTCTTATCTTTACTAGCAAAAAGCCAAAAGTCATGTTGTTGTTCAAGTGATAGAGTACCAGCAAAAAAGCCAAGCAAGAAATGAGGCCCTAAGTTCAAGCACAAACCAACCCACCTTTCAGTAGCCCACCATCAACAAAATGATGTCATATTTTATTATTATTTAGTAAATATCTCTAAAGTGTATAAAACTTTCAGTTAATCAGTGGTAACCAGATTTCTTATAGCCTATCAGAATAAAGCACAAAATTCTAGAATAGGGAATAAAAAAACAACAAAGCTCACACCTCAAATAACTTGTCAAGCTTTCATAGGGGATTTGTCTTTTTGCTTAATGAGTTGAGTAGGATTGTGATTTGAATTAACACCTTTTTTTTTTTTTTAATTGTTGGTTGTGGGGCTTTAACTCAGGGCCTGGACACTTTCTCTGAGCTTTTTCTCTCAAGCTATCATTCTACCTCTTTGAAACTCAGTGCTGTTTCTGATTTTCTGGTAGTTAGTTGGAGATAAGAGTCTCACAGACTTTCCTGCCCAGGCTGGCTTTGAACCATCATCTTCAGATCTCAGCCTCCTGAGGAGCTAGGATTATAGGTGTGAGCCACCAGTGCCTGTCAATCAATAACTTTTAATATAATGTCAAAGTCATAAATTGAGCACTTTCAAAATACAAATGACTCTAATTTGTAGAGGAGAGCCATTAATCATGAAATCTACATTTATATGATCTATATGTACATAAAATATTTATAGTATAGTAAGTATGACCTCACTTTACAGTAGAATAATAGATCCCTATACATTAAAGGCAAAATAATTTTGCTTTTACTATAATTCACATGGCAACATTTCTTTAAATAGGTATTTTAATTTCAGTGGCCAAATAATTACAGCATTTCTGAGTTATTGAATGAGATGATGTATTCATTATTGATAGAAATTTGGGGACCATAATATTGCCAACTACATATAGTTTGTATTTGTTTCCTAATAGCTAGAAACCAGTGCCTGAAAGAAACCCCAATTAAAACACCAGTAAATTCAGCAGGAACAAACAAGCTAACGACAAATGTCATTAGCCCTGAAAGGCGGTAAGTGTTATTTTTCAGACTCTTTGTTCTTTAGTGTATGTAATGAGACTGTTCTTTTCATCTATAATATACCTGATTAGGAGAACCATGACATAGATGCTGTTGAAGACTAGAGAAATGTCTGCGTGCAGACAGTCTGAGATCATTACTGAAGATACTGCCCCTGCTTTAAAGGGTGGAATCATGTAACTGAGCACCAGTGGTTTTGGCATGTTAAGTACAGCAAGCTGGGAAGAACTGGTTTTTCTTCCTCCTTTTTGCTGTATAGTATAGGCATCTACTATAGATAGCATTCCATAAATAGTAGAGGCACTGTCCAATTGATCTTGATTGGATTGAGACGTGTCTAGATTAGAAAAGCATCCCTGAGTGTGTCTATGAGGATGTTTCCTGAGAATAAGGGGAAAAGAACCACCCTGAATGTGGACTACACTGTCATATAGGTTCGAGGTCTAGATGGAGTAAAAGAGGAAAAAAAAGAAATTCAGTACTATAGGCTCTCTCTGTACTTCCTAGCTACCATAAAGTGAGCTGCTCTGCTGTATCACACCCTCCCTGCCATGATAGACTGAAAACTGAAATTTCAAGCCAAAATATAATTCCTTCCCTTCTTTTCTCCCTCTCTCCTTCCCTCCATGTTTCAGTGCTTGGGGTTGTGCTTGCTAGAAAGGCATTATACCACTTGAACCATATCCCAGCCCTTTTTGCTTTAGTTGTGCATTTTTTTTTTTCCTGTGTTGGTACTGGAGCGTGAACTTGACCTGCTATTCCTTAGCTTTTTTTACTCAAATCTGGCACTCTGCCACTTGCCACAACTCCACTTCTGGCTTTTTGGTGGTTTATTGGAGAGTCTCATGGACTTTCCTGTCTGGGCTGGCTTTGAACTGTGACCTTCAGATCTCATCCTCCTGAATAGCTAGGATTATAAGCATAAGCCACCTGTGCCTGGCTGCTTTAGTTATTTTTTTAGAAAAGGTCTCTCATATTTTTGTGTGGCTTGTGTTGACCACTATCTTTCTTCTTAAGTCTTATACATTGCTGGGATGTCAGGGCCCTTCTCACTTTTTGGGCTGTTCTTGAACTCATCTCCACCTTTTTACCTCCCAAGTAGGAGAGATAGCAGGTATTAGCTTCTATATCCAGCCTTTTCCTTTTAAATAGTTTCTTTCAGGTTGTCATAGTGATAAAATGTCTGATTAACACTATATTGACTGTGTTAAACAGTATCTGTGTTAGTCAGACAACACTTTCCTATTGAATGAAAAGTTCTGAGGCATCAGTGATCCTTCCTTGTCTTTTATAACTTTTAAAGCTTGATCCATTTTGGGTCCCCTCTAGAGAGAGATGACTTTAGTCCTCCCTGGGGAGGAGTAAGATGATCTGGGCCTGGCACACCTGAATGAAGTACAATTGAGTGTAAAGGGACAAAAGCAGGGTCTGTGAGGACTCTAGCAGGCAGAAGGCCCAATGTTACTTGTGCTTTGTTGTTTTAAGGTGCCGCTCAGTGGAACTGGGTCTCAACCAAGCACATTTGGAGGATACTCCAAAAAGAAAAGGAACCAAAGTGTTTGGGAGCCTTGAAAGAGGACTGGATAAGGTTATCACTGTGCTTACCAGGAGCAGAAGGAAGGGCTCCTCCAAAGATGGCCCAAGAAGGCTAAAGGTAACAAAACTGTAGTTCTTTAACATGAGTTTCAGAAAACTGCTAATTCTTCTCCTCCCGACCTCCTCCCCACTTCCCTCTCCTCCCTCCCTCTCCCCATTCCCTCTTTTCTGTCCTTTCTTTCCTACCTCCCTCCCTCCCTTTCTGTCACCTCTCTTCCCCTTTTACCTCTAATCCTCCTCCTCTCTCCTTTCTTCCCTTCCTTCTCCCTTCTTTCCTTTTTCTCTCTCTTCCCTTTTATTTTAAAAAAGAAATTGGTATTTTTAATTAATTTATTCAGTTAATGTGCACCTTTGTGTGTGTGTATGTGTATGTGTGCGCACACGCACATGCATACATGCATGCCAGTCCCAGGACTTGAATTCAGGGCATGGGCACTGTCCCTGAGCTATTGTGCTCAAGACTAGTGCCCTACCACTTAAGAGCCAGAGTGCTATTTCTGGCTTTTTGGTAGTTAATTGGAGATAAGAGTGTCACAGGCTTTCCTCTCCATCTGACTTCAAACCTTGATCCTCAGATCTCAGCCTGCTCAATAGCTAGGATTACATGTGTGAGCCACAGACACCTGTCTAATGTGCATGTTTTTAACATTACATATATGCCTATTCCTATGCAGTGAGCTTTAAGAATGCTTAAGTAGTCTTAGTATGGTGGCTCACACCTGTCATCCTAGTTACTTACATATTGAGATAGGATCATGGTTTGATGCCAACTCTGATAGAAATATTAATGGGATCCTATATTGACCAATAAAAATCTGAGCGCATGCCCGTCATATCATTTATATGGAAAAGCAAGAATCTACTAGAAAATAATGAAAGTTGTAATGAAACTTAAAAAACTTGAGTTTAGGGCTCAGTGGTAGAGCGCTTGCCTTGTATGCCTGAGGCCCTGGGTTCAATTCCTCAGCACCACATAAGCAAAAAGAAAAAAGCCAGAAGTGGCGCTGTGGCTCAAGTGGTAGAGTGCTGGCCTTGGGACAGTGCCCAGGCCCAGAGTTCAGGCCCCACTACCAGATCCCCCCCCAAAAAAAAAAAACAAACAAAACTTTTAATCTTGAAGTTTTTTGAGTTTCTTGGGTATGTGGCTTAGTTCATTTATAGTGTCTCACCTTTCTTCTGGGACTCCTGTTATAAGTATATTGGCACAATTGGAGTCATTCAGTTCTCTGAGGATCTTGTACATTTTTCTTTTCTTTCCTTCTCCCCCCACCCCCTGGTCCTGGGGCTTGAACTCAGGGCTTGGGATCTGTCCCTGAGCCTCTCTGTGCTCAAGGCTAGCACTCTACCACTTGAGCCACAGCACCACTTCTGGCTTTTTCTGCGTAGTGGTACTGAGGAATCGAACCCAGTACTTCATGCGTGCTTAGTTGGGCAAGCACTCTACAGCTAAGCCACATTCCTAGCCCCCTTTTGTTTTTTTGGTTCCTCAGATCAGATCATTTTTATTAACCTATTTTCCAATTCCTTCATTCCCTTTCTTACTACTGGAAATGTTGAACTACTATAATGGATTTTTTTCATAAATATTGTACATCTCAACTCCAGAATTTCTGAATGGTTCATTTAATTTTCCATATTGACACTTTTCATTTGTTTTTTTTTTTCACTTTTCATTTGTTAAGTCATTGTTCTTATACTTTACTTCAGACTTGAAGTTCTTTTATTCTTTGGGTATATTTAAAAATTAATGCCATAGAGGAACTCACTAGACGCTATGTTGAAAATGAACTATACAACTTAGGGGTAAGAATAAGAGGGAAAAACTGGGAGAGTGAGGGAAGGGGTGAAATTGTCCAAAAAGAAATAGACTCTTTACCTGATTTGTATAAATATAACCTTTCTGTATATTTCCTTTATAATAACAAAAAAATTAAAAATTGATTTAAAGTCTTTGCCCAGTTCAGACTTCAAACTTTACTACAGAGCTATAACAAAAACAGCTTGTAGCTACTGGCACAAAAACAGGTCCAAAGACCAATGGAGCAGACTAGAAGATCCAGAAATAAAGCCATATACTTATAGTTATCTGATATTTGAAAAGGGACCCAAAAATATACATTGCAACAAAGATAGCCTCTCCAACAGTTGATGTAAGGAAAACAACAACCATTTTTTTTTGTAGAAAACTAAAATTGGATCCTTGCTTTATAGCCTAGTGTGGCCTTGAACTTGTCATCCTCCTGTTTTGTACTCCTGAGTTACTAGGATTTCAGGTGTGCAGCCCTATGGTTTTTTGTTGTTGTTGTTGTAGTTTTTTGGCTGGTTCTAAGGCTTGATCTCTGGGCCTGGGTGCTGTCCCTGAGCTCTGCAGCTCAAGGCAAGCATTCTACCACTTGAGCCACAGCACGACTTCTGGTTTTCTGATGGTTAATTGGAGATAAGTGTGTCACAGGCTTTCCTGCCTTGGCTGGCTTTGAACTGCAATCCTCAGATCTCAGCCCCCTGAGTAGCTAGAATTACAGGCGTGAGCCACTGGCGCTCAGCCTCTGCAACCCTTTAATACATTTTTATAGGCTCATTTTTCTTTTCTTCTATGTGCTGGTCGTGGGGTTTGAACTTAGGGCCTGAGTGCTGTCCCTGAGCTTTTTTTGTTCAAGGCTAATTAATGCTTTTACCACTTGAGTCACAGCTCCACTTCCAGCTTTTGGGTGGTTAATTGGAGATAAGAGCCTCATGGATTTTCTTGCCTGGGCAGGCTTTGAACTGAGATCCTTTTATCTTAGCCTTGTTAGTTGCTAAGATTACATGTGCAAGCCACTAGCACTTGGCTAGGCCCATTTTTCCTTGAGCTCTGGTATTTCTTTAAGGTGTTTGTGTTAAGGGTTAAAGACTTGGATTGGGTTGGATTGAGCCTTTTCTTTTTGGTCCGGTCATGGGG